TGTCCTGGGGTGCGGGTGGGTAGGGGAGGTGAATGTGGTGCCAGCCAAGGAGAGGCAAAGGGTCAGCCTCATGGGAAAGAGAAAGCGGGGAGCTTGGCTTAAGCCTCAGGTGATAGGGTGGTGGCTCAAAAGACTGTGCAGGTTAGTGGCCAATGGATATGAACTCAGACACCTCTGTCTCCAGACCCGGCTGTGTACCAAGGCATGGGGCGCTTGACCTTCAGCGGCCTCCTCAACGCGCTGGACGGTGTGGCCTCCACGGAGGCCAGGATTGTCTTCATGACCACCAACTACGTGGACAGGTCAGAGCTGTCCTCTGGGAGGGAACAGGGAGGGTAGCACAGGAGAACCTTGCTCCCTTTTGGTGATCTATGTGGATGGCTATTTGCATCCTCCCGTGTGAGGACTTGGGGGTTCAGGTTTCCCAAATCCTCCCTCGGGATGCAAATCCCTTGATCTCTAATCGGGATCCCCTTTGCTGGAGCCTCAGATGCTTCCTTGCTGTTCAGACCAGGGCTGTACCCTTCAGAAGAGGTACCAGCTTCCTGCCCATGGGGATCTGTGGATTTGGGGGTTGTGGCTGAGCTGAGTGAAACACTGGCCCCACACGCAGCCCGTTGAGTTGGCAGGTTGCAGCCTGGGCTCACGGCACCTGGTCAGATGCTGCTCTGTGGCAGGCTTGGCTCACTCCAGACCGAGCTGGCCTAGAGCGATTGCTCAGGGGACATAGGTGGGCAGAGCTGTTTCCCAGGACACAGTTGTCCTCCTCTGGAGCCAGCCCTTTGCCAGCTGTCTCATGTCTTTTGGGTTGATTTCCCCCCTTAAGCCACCAGGGACCAAACCTCTTCCCCACCTTTACTGTCTCACAGTGCAGAGCACCTTGCAGATAGAACACTGGCTGTGCTAGTGTGGAGGGCACCTTCCTGCAGGACCCACCCTGCAGTGACACTTTGATCAGGTTTTTAAGGCTCCCCTGTGTCTCTTGACAGGCTGGACCCAGCGCTGGTGCGGCCCGGCCGTGTGGATCTCAAGCAGTACGTGGGCCATTGCTCCCGCTGGCAGCTTGCCTGCATGTTCCAGCGCTTCTACCCCGAGCAGCCCCTGGCTGCAGCCGAGCGGTTTGCAGAGCAGGCACTGGCAGTCTCCAAACAGATCAGCGCTGCTCAGGTGCAGGGCCACTTCATGCTCTACAAGACAGACCCCGAAGGAGCCATTTCAAACATACGCTCCATCCTGCTGTGACCAGGGACCAACTTGCCCCTGTCACGCCATGAGGATTGTGACAAGGACTTGACCATCCCAGGGATGCTGTCGAGCTGCTCAGCCATGCAGTTCTCTGTCCACCTCTCCTCACCAAGGTCTTGGCTTTTTATTAAAACACGTGGAGAGTCAGAGCTGCCAGCCTTGCAGCAGGAAGAGAGGATCAGCTCTTGCTGCTCCCCAGGTTTGGGTGCTACTACACTGGCCCCGCTTGCCAGTGTGTGTCTCCTGCTGGGATTGCCATAAGCTGCCAAAGCTCCTGAATGTGAATCCCCTTCCTTGTGGGGCAGTCTGGGGATGCCCCAGACGGGAATTTCTCTGGGGCAGGACACTGGGGTGCTGCACTGCTAAAGATCTGCTGGTCTTTGAAGGGAGAACAGTCTTCACTGGTGTTTGAATATCTTCTGTGAAGTGCACAACATGGCTCTTGGTTCTTTGGTCCCTTTGCCTGTTAATTGCCCCACTGTCCAGCTGCTGGTCCAGAGCCCAGTACTGCAAATCCAGAGGGTTTCAGAATAAAGCAGCTCCCAAGAGACAGCTCATTGTCCCTCCGGCTGCAGGGCTGGTGCTACGGCTCCTTCCCTGCTGGGCTGTGATGCCAAGTCACAGATCTGCTTGGACATCGTTCCTGGGTGGGCGTGACTGTCCCTCCTAGTTGGGCCCTGGAGCTACTGCTGGCGGTGTTAACCCCAGTGTGAATTTCTGTGGCCAAGCCAAGCTGGTTTGAGGTGCAGAAATCCCTGTTGTAGGTGACTACTCCTCTCCTTCCAGCCGGCGAGGCCCTGCGTGGCTGCAGGAGGGATTTGGCCTATTGCTGGCAGCCTTACAGCTTTTCCCTGTCACCAGGCTTTCTTCCTGCCAGGAACAAAAGTCCTGGATGGGCTGGTAGAGCCACAGGTGCCTGAAATGCACTTGAGAAGTGGGCAGGTTCTGCACCTCCTTCCCAATGCCACAGAGCCAGAGGTCAGGCTGTGCGCACTGACCCACAGAACAAGCCAGCCAGGGCCTCTCCTCTCCCCAGTCCATGATTCAAAGTGCCAAAATCAGCTTCCCCAGAGCCAGCCCCGTGTTCACATCCTCGCTTCAGGGGCTGTGTCACCTTGGTGGGGCGGAGGGAACTGGTTCCAGGCCAAACCCAAACTGTTAGGTCGCTGCTCAGCCCCCATCTTGACTTCCACAAATGTTTCCACAAGTGAAGGCTTGATCCTGTGGCCACAGTGGGGGCATCTCCAGGGCCTCAGGGCAGCTCCCAGAGCAGGGTGCTGCTGTTGGCATCTCAAACGCTGTGCTTGGCCATCCCGCAGAGGCTGACTGCTCAGATCCAGCCTTGTCTCACAAAGCCGGGGGTCAAAACTGGCCAGTGAGCAACTGGCAAACGCCTCACAGCAGTTTGGGAAGATGGGGAAGTGGTGAGGGAGAGCCGGAGGGAACATGGACCCCCACCCCGATGTCACCACACAAGACCACAGGCACCATCTGTCACTCTGATGCTTTTAATAGTGTTAATGCTACAGATGCCGCTGGTGCCCTTCTGCCCAGCCCAAGCACTTTTGCCAGTTAAGCCTCACAACAGCCCTGTGAGGTAGGTGGGTGACACAGGTGGACACCAAGCAAGGAGCCCCAGGGCAGGGTGCAGGCTCCATTCCTCCCCTCTGACAGGGACGTTTGTTTTGCTTAGCCCAAATTCATTTCCATGCACAGCTACAAAAACGTCCTCTGCTCCACGGTGACAGCAGTGAGTCAGAAAGGCGAGGGCCCTTCCTAAATACCTACTCCCAGGAAAAAAAGCCTTCCCCTCTAACATGTCTGGCATTTGATTGAAGTTACCCAAGTCCGTGCTCACTCCAATTTCCATGGCTGAATTCCCATGCTCCGAACACCGGCCACAGCAGTTTTCCTGCTAAGAGTAAGCCTGGTTCACTGGATGAAGCCAAGAAGCTGGAGCTTTGGCTGCTGCGAGGGGCAGAGATCTTCGTGTTTCTTTCAGGACATGATCAAACGCCTTTCTTGGAGTACAGCAATTTCAAAAGTGAAGGCAGGAAGCAGCAGAACAGGCACCAATGTCAGACAAAAGTGTACACCTTTTCACCCAAGTACAGACAGGCCGTTCACCCAGAAACCAGTTGGAAGAAGGACAGAGTGAGCGCTGAAGAAAAATTAGGTTTCTCTTCAGGGAGTGAGTGCTCAGCCCTCGTCCCCAGCTGGGCACGTCATCTGGCCCTCAGATCCCCAATCCTAGGACAGGTAGTGTAGACTCAGACCAAGGAGGGGAAAAAAAAAATACAATGCTTTTAGAGCATTAGGGTTGAAAATAGGCCAGTGTTGGAAATTTAAGCACAGCAGGTTCTTGGGAAGTGGGTTAAACCAACCCCTTCAGGACAAGGCCAGGCATGGAAAGAGCAGGGCAGTAGTCAAGGAGGACCCGTTCAAGAGACGGCTTTTGTGCACCCTTCACGTGGCAAAGGATCAGCCAGGCAGATGCAGCAAAATGCCCTTTGAGCTGGCACAAAGCACTTGGTTTCCTAGGTTTCTCGCCCAAAGCTCTGGCAATTCCATTGCAGCATGGCCATTTTTGCACTTAGCAGCGAGAGGAAGACAATAACAACCCACGTGTGGCCAAATGAGAGGCAAGGGCACAAGGCACAAACAAATGTGAAGGAATGAGTACTGTCTGGCTGAGCCAGACAGTTTACACTAAGCCAGGCAAAACAGGGACTGGGGAGTGCTCCTGCCACTGAGAAGCACCAGGGGAAGGTCTCTGCCCCAGCCCTGGGCATGGGGAACAGGGAGGGGAGTGGATCAACACCTTCACTCCAAACAGCAAAGAACAGGAGCGAGAGAACAGAGAAAACAAAGGGAGCAGGCTCTATGGAGAAGACCCAACAAATTAGTTTAATAGCAGTGTCCCACTTCAGAGGCTTGGAATCGCCCACCATGGCTCTGGAGTGGGACATGGTTTTAATCTGTGAAGCAGCAGCAGAAGGAACTGCACCAAGTTAATTTAAACAGCAAATCCTCATTTCTTTGAAGCAAGCTTGAAGATGAAAGGAGGGTAAGAGTATCCAAAGTATTGGGGCATGTCTTCACTCTGGGCTGTTGGGAGCTCCAAGAAACAGCCTGGCCTTAAAGGGGGATCCTGACAGATGCAGGTTGCAAAGCAGAGTGCTCTTCCTAGGTCTCCCCCATCAGCTTCTGCCTGCACAAAAGTAGCTGAAGGACAGGGCAGGAGCTCCAACTATATTCAGGGTTCCTGAAAGCCTCAGCCACCAGACAACCCTGATCTGCCAATGTATTGACGTAAGCTTAATTTAGCTCTCCTGGCTTGAGTGGGAAGTGTACTGTCATACAAAAGACTCTCCTGGCCGAGCCAATGAGCTGAACAGCAGTCAGGTCTGCAGGAAAAGCGATGGTGTCTCCAAGGGACAGCAGTTGAGAAGGTGCTCCGAGAAGCACACGGGGACACAGCAAGCTGAGCTCCAGGCTGCTGCCCTGCCACAGCCTCATCATTTGGCACCACCATGTCTCTGCTGGGAAGGTTCTGCCACAACTCTGGCTCTGCTGTGGCACGACACTGGGCTCAGTCCATTTGCTCTGCAGGTATGCACGTTTCTGGGCAGCTCACATACAAGGATGATGGCTGCAGGTCCCCGGTCAAGGCTTCCTCTGCCCTCTAGGTGCTCCAAGGCCAAGGCTGCCATGATCTGTCAGGAGTCAGCTTCTCCAATGCTGGCCACAGCCAGTTGCTCACGCCAGGATGCTTCACTCTGCACGTACCCTGGAGATACTGCCTGTCCCAAGCTGTACCACATGCCAACTGCCTCCTCCCTCCCAAGTGTCTGCTTGCTACTGCTCCACCAGAGCCTTCACTGTTCTCCCCAGAAAAAGCCCTTCCCTCCCCCAGCCCAGCCCCTCACCACTCCTGCTAGGAGCCACTCTCCTTCTCGAGGAGATGGGCTTCTCGACGTCCACTGGGCCTGAACACCCCTCGCCCTCTTGGTGCTCTGGGGTAGGAACCACGCTCCTGGACCCTGGACCTCTCCCACCTTCCACAATCCCAGGGCCTGTGGTGGCCCTGCCAGCTGGGAGCTGCTCTGTGGTCGCTGCGGTTGAAGGCTAGGTTCTCCTTCTCCCTGCCGCGGGCCTCGGCCCCCTCCTCCGGGGTCCATCTCTCCACATCACGGTGTTCCTCTTTCAAGTCCACTGCCTCTGTTACCGGTGAGGGGTCTTCAGGGCACAACTCCTTTCTTTCGGTCAAGGCAGCAGCCCTGCTTCTGCTGTGAGGCTTTGTAAACTCCTGGCTGTGCCTCCCACCAGGTCTCCGCTCTGGTCTCCGGCTGAAGGCCCTGGGCCCCCTGGAGCCGTGGAGCAGATGACAGCCTTCCTCTGTCGGTTCCTGCGAGCTGCTGCACGACTGCCTGCCCTGGCTTCTGGGGCCCGGCCTCTCCCCTCTGTGCCTCTCCCTCTTGCTCTGTTGCTCCCTGGGCACAGCAGGCCTCTCGGGCCGCCCGGGTTCTGCCCTGGCCTCTGGCACCCCGGCTGGCTCTGGAGCTGAGGCTTGGCTGGGCAGCTGGGGCGCATCCACAGCGCTTGCACTCACCGGCAGCTCGGAGGCAGTGGCTGCTTGGCTCGGATCGACAGCAGCTGGAGGCTGAAAGAAAGAAGCCACTTGTTAAGAAAGCAACAGGGCGGCCCCAGAGCAGGTGACAGCACTCGGTCCTGCATTCCAGGGACCCCCTTGCCAGCTCTTTGCCCCCTGTGCCATACCGCCTGGAGGCTGATGAAGTAACGGTTCCTCTCTGCTTCAGGGTCAATGATGCCCCCTTTCTCTTGCTGTCTCTTGAAAATTAAGCGCAGTTCTTCTTGGTGCTGGAGGGTCTTGGCATCTGGCCTGTATGGCTCCTGAGTGGCAGAAAGCAAGGCGGGGTAAGGGCTTTCTTGACACCTAGCATGGGTACGCAGAGGGCAGTGCTAAGAGCTACTCCCCAAACCCTCCTTTGATCACACAAGGAACACGGGATACAGAGCTCATTTCACGGTCTAGGAGAAGAAAACTCAGGGCTATACAACTAAGCCTGCTCTTTGTTGAGACATCAATCAGGAGACACACTGCTAGGTTTTATGAACTGCCCTTTGGATGGGCTGCCTCGGGGGACCTGAGAGCGTGCAGCGTGCGTTCATTCATCCGTTATATTGTCCCAGTTGAAGGTACTCAGAGAGCAGGCACTGCTGGGCAGGTGAGCCCCCATCTCTTACCAGCGGGTGCTGTGGGGGCGGTGCTGCCTTCAGAGCACAGAGATCGTAGACCAGGGTCTCTCGGCAGACGGGGCACTGCACACCAACTTCCTGCAAGGAGGCAAGAGGTGATTCCAAACCCTGGCCATGACCCAGCCTATGCGCTGCTGGATAATACCCAGCCTGGGAGTGGAACAGGGTTGCCTTCTTCACTCTTCTGCCAGGGCAGGGAAGCCCAAGGGGTTTCCAGAAGCATGAAGGCAGCCTGGTGTCTCAATGACTGCTACGGAAGGTGTCTCCACCACAAGGCACGCCAGGATTTGTGCTCCACTGGCTGACTGCCAGGCCAGGTTAGCCCTTGCTCCGCATCCCAAAGGGTGTGACAGAGATGTCACGAGAGCCTGTGCAGGGGACTGGGGCGGGGGAAGCTCAGGGCCCAGTACCTGTTTGGGGGATGGCGCCAGGTGCTGCTCTCTCTCCTCCTGTTGCATGAGGATCTCCATGTGCTGGGCATAGCGGGCCAGGCAGTGGGAGTGGAAGTAGTGGTAGCACTGGGTCTTTGTGAAGGCTTCTCCCTCCTGTAGAGGAGAAAGGGCAGCTTTAAAGGGTTTGTGAGCACAAGGTCGTGTAGCCTCACCAGCTGAGGTGGCCTTTCACTCCCATGTCAACGCTGGCAGTGGGGAACTAGTGCTATTGCTGGCAGAGACACAAACATCTTCTGCTGGGCTTCATCTGTAGCTCCTCAGCTCTTACTATGACACTGCTCCCTATTCCAAGAGTGAGAAATACTCCTACTGTCAAGCTGCATTTTTTGTGACTGATTTATCTGCATATGTTCCTGTGTAAGCAGCAATCTTCTCACTCAATGTGTGCCCAGGCAGGCACTACCTCTCCTTGCAACCCGGACAAGGCAAACTCCCCTGTCCCCGCAGACCTCAGCAACTGCACAGATGTGTTCCAGTCCCCCCTGACCACCTGTGTGCCAAACTCCAGGTGAGGTTTGACCCAATACAAGGAAGCTGAGATGCACCAGCAACTATCCCCAGACCCTACCGACTCCCTTGGAGACACTCCGGCATCACTCACTACCCCTATGCCCCATTTCTGTAGAGGATTATCTTCAGGCTGACCGGGAGAGTAGCATTTACTGCCTTAGGATGGTCCACGCTGAGCAGGACTGCCTATAGACCAGGGGGACAGGCGGCTGTTGAGGCACACTCCAGTCCCAGGCCGATATGCCAAGCTTCAAGCCCCATGCTCCCTCTTCTTTTGCTTCACTTCCCAGCCAGCTTGCAGGGCTGGGCGACATGTTCCTACCTGGAATCCATAGAGGCAGATTACGCACTGGCCATGAGGAATGTTGTTGTCAGTGAGAATCTCCTTCCCCTTCTGCAGAAGCATTAAAGCAAACATTTTACTCCATGGCCTGCCCATGGGCGCAGAGCTATTTCACCCCTCGGGCATTCAGGAACCAGTGTGTGTGGCTGGCCATCCCCAACCTCGCCCAACTCTTACCTCAATCAGTTCATAGAGCACTTCTGTCCCCAGCCTGGCTTCAGCAATGCTTCTGAGGGTCTGGGAAATCCTACAGCAAAGCAGCAGCAATATTTAATGCAAGTGTAGCCACACCTTTCCACTCTCCCACATACTTGTCACCCCACCACAATAACAGGAGGAAGAAATAAGAGCACTGTCCTTCAGGCTTTGCCTGCAGCATGGGACAGGCATGTGTACACACACATATTCACGTGCTCCCCATAAGACACTGCACAGGAAGCATTTGTCCTCAAAGGATTTGCAAGAGCAGGTTTGCTTGAGCTCACCCAGCACCCTTCAGTTTTGGTAAATCTCAGGCTTTGTTTATCTGACGTCAGCCCCAAGGCAGGTCTGGTGGGAGCCACGTTACTCCTGTGCTGCCAGCAGGTACCAGGGTCTCTTTGCACACACTCCACTGCACCAAGGACAATGGCAACAACGGGCTGCCCAAGGACTTGGTTCAGTCTCACCACTGTCAAAGCAGGACCAACAGCTTCAATGGCCCAGACGATTTAGATTATAATTCAGGGGAACCACAGGGGAACAACCACAGGGTGGACCCCTCTGTGTCAAACCCATCACGAGTGGCTCCCATGAGATTTAAGACAAGGTATTTAGGGACTTATGTCCATCTGTTAACTGGACACAGGGTCCCATGTGAATTTGAGAGAAGGCTTTTCCACCAGATCTGCCTCTCAGATCTCCAGGGGAAAGGATCACCCTCTCCCCTCCCGGCACTCACTTTTGAATTTGCTCATCTGACAGCCCCCGTGGGTTCCTGATTGAGATTTCTGGAGCCTTGTTGGGATACTAGGAAAAGAAAAACAAAAGAAAACAAAACACCCAAAGCACAAGGAAGGCAAAGAGACCCGGGGCAGGCAGGAACGGGGGAACGGGGTCCGGCAGCCTACCTGGGGGGGCACGGAGAGCAGCAGGGTGAACCGGACGTACTGAGAATCCTGGTCCTGGGCCGTGGCGGGGTGCAGGGTGATGCTGATCTCCCACGGCTCCCACCTACGGGGCAGGCCCAGGTGAGGGCGGGGGGCGGCGCGGGGCAGGGCCGGACCGGGCCGAGCCCGGGGCAGAGACGGGGGACCTCTGCTAAAATCCTACTGTTCTTGTCAAAACCACTTACTATTTAGATGGCTCTCAGGTCTACTGAAAGATAGCAAGAATACTCTGCTGAGTTCTGTACCGTTGATCCCAGGCATTCAACTTCTAATGCCAGAGAGGATCAGATAGTCCATTAAAGAGAGTGAGCTCCAGTTTAATGATTTTGTGTTGACATACAGCAGATAAGAGTCTGTTTGAAGTATTTCATAATACTTACAACTCTTGCGAACAGAAATCACCAAAGTTTTCAGGACCAACTCCCAGAATTTATTATTTATCGGCATATGCCACCTCCAAATGCAGTCATTTTCAGTCCCCAAATTCACAGATTGGTCTGTTCGTGCGGGAGATTGGGCAGACACTGCTCTTATCTCTGATTCCATACAACAACCCCTCCTAAGGTGGTCACATGCTGTCTGCGAGAGCGTTTCTTTTTACAACACTAAAAAAAAAAGGAGCTTTGCGATGGTCACTTCTGCAGTGGCGTTCACTTCAATACCCTGGAAATATCTC